CCCTCTAAATCCGCCACTGTTTGAAGGTGAAGTTGACGGTTGGCATTTAGCAAACGTATCGAAAGCATGTCCAACATACCTTTTACTTACACTGGTGTGTTACTTAACGTGAACGATTGGAAAAAATGCAATATTCTACCGGGCATGCAAATTTTTTACTTTGTCAGGCGCTAGCAAAAACATTCAGTTTTCGGTAAAAAAAAAAAAAAAGAAAGAAAAAAAAGGATCCTTGTATTTCATGTTTCATGGCAAATTTTAGGGTTATTTCATGACTGGCATATGTCACTCAATCCTTAAATACTATTTTGAAACGAATGTATCATATATAATAAAATCCATTGTGCTTAAAATGTATCTGTTTTTCTTCTCGCTTCTTCCTGTATTTTTTTCAAACATTGGCCTAATCTTATTGGACAGAGCCTTCAATTTAGCCTTAGTTTTATAACAAAACAAAATCTTAGGCTTATATATCTCGGTTTTAATAAATATATCTCTGTTTTAATAAATATTCATAAACGGCCAAATTCAACGGCTACAATAAGATTTTTTTATTTTTAATTCATTTTTTGTTGAATCATTATTTATGTATATATTTTGGTGAAAATATCTTAGAGGATCGAGTACAAAGGATAAGGGCATTAATTCATAGTTTTTCGCTTTTAAATATGAGAGAAGTGTTGAATCTGCTCTCAGACATATCAGGCAACTGATTCATGTGATTGAAGAGGCAAACATTTTAGGCACAAGTTTTCGATCAATATTTTTACCTCTTTTTTAAATTAAATGATGTACTATAACCCTTACGGCAGGCCACACAAATTGTGTGTGTGGGTGCGCGTTTGTGTGTGTGTGTGTGTGTGTGTGTGTGTGTGTGTGTGTGCTTGCGCACGCGAGCGTGTTTGAAATAGCGCTAGTTTTTGTAAATGATTTACATGCTGTTATTAACAAGGTTTGTTTAAACTTTTGAATCTGGTGCAAGTAAGTAACTGAAATAACGAAATCTCGCATGGAGACTAGATCATTTAAAAAAGATGGAAAAAAAGAAAAAGAAATATAAAACAATTGTTATTGCTGATGTTATTTCAATTAAACAATTGAGCTCTTAATACTTCCCGTACCATTTAGACCAACATGTCTGTATATTTCATAGGGAAATATTGACACCAGGTTCATGTTAATATATATTTGAGAGTCTTTATCGTTTTTAAGATTTAAATATTAGGCTAGCCCAATGCGCGGTCAAGCAAATAGCTAGCTACATACTGTAGATTCCACACTGAAAATACTGTCACCAAAATTATACCCATTAAGTCATCATTTTTTTCATATTTGCGATTTTAATTTCAGATTATTATTTTCTATGTCCTTTTAAAAATAAATTTTAGCGACGTTTCATGTCATTTAGCATTTATCATAGAATGTGAGACATACCTAGCCAGTATTTTAGCAACGTACATACATGTATTTTGGCAAGACACATTTAACTTCCAATGCAAGCGCACGATTGTAATCTAAACGTCTGGAATAAGAACAAACAATTTTGCATATTTTCGAGCATGAAAAGTTTCGTCGCTTCACAAATAGTTACATTCAATCATATTAATCAATTAACGCCTTAACTTCTGTCGCTCCTAAATAACGCGAAACTCGCCTATACCATTAAACAATTGCTAAGCTGCAAATGATACGGTAAACGAATGTTTGTTTTGTGTTTGATTCAATATTGCAACTATTGGTTATATTAGTGCGGCAGCTGTACGCGTTTGTATGGCGGAACGCCCACGAAACCTGTGGTAATTGTCAATGCCTTAATGAGCGAGAATTCTTCATTTTCTTCTTAGGTGACCACAGACTCCAAGGCGCCGCTCCTTGCTGAACCCATATTGTTCCAAACCGGTTAATTTTGACGGGTTTCTTTTTGAGGAACCACCGGCTCAAACAAAAGAGGCTCTTTTGGGTTTTGAGAGAACTAGTTCCCGTTGGTATTCCCTCCGCATGAAATTCCCTTGATGGATGCCAAGCCAGCTTTCCCATTGAAAAGTTGAAAAATCATTTTTATAAACCACAAAGTATCCAGCCAATATATTTCTATCTTGATAGTTATAATTTTGCTCTTCCCCAATATGAACCCCGACGAGTTCTGATTATCGTGCATTGTTAAGTATCTTGGCTTTATCTTGTTGCTGTTTGCCGCAAACCCCATATAGCTCACGGATAATTAGTGCATGGGGCTAAAGAGTGGGGTTATTGCATGTCAGAATAGTCACTTAGATATTTTTATTACGATGTTATACAACATTTTGACAATTTATTCAAATGCATTTGAATTCAGTTCAGTTTATTCAGTTATCAGTTTATGCAGTTTTTGTGGATGCATTTTATTCAAAGCAACAACATTTAATTTAGACCATAAAACAGTTCTTTACAAAAAGTTATGTTTATGATAATTCTTAATTATTTCATGGATATAATAGATAACAGGAGAAAAAAAGAATTTTATTTGGATTTTCAACAATTCTGCAGCTCTCACCGACTCTTCTGTTGAGTTTCAGATCCCTATTAGCCTCTATATATGTATGTATGTACATACGTAATATACAATCGATTAACAAGAAAATAAAATGTAACAATCAGTTTTTAACTTCTTTCTTCTTTGAAATTGAAATTCTTTAGGTTAAAGGAGAGTGGACGGTTTCATGCGCGTTCTATGTATATTGATTTCGCGCGAAAAATACTATTTTTGAACTGAGTAATTAAAAAATTTATAAAGGACCATGTCTTCAGGCATTGAAACGCGACATCCGACAAGAAAAAGAATTAAGGTAAATATAACACAATCGAAATCCCGTATTCTGTTTATATAAACATTTCCATATTTTCCAGAAAAAGTTTCAAGTATGATTGCTATTTTCTAATTCGATGAAATGATTGCTTATTTTCTCTTATAAGTCTGGAATAAATAGAGTAAAAACGGGTAGTAAAGTCACTAAAATAAAAAAAATCAATTTTAAAATCACGTTTTTACATATCCTACCTTCTTCATACCAACAAAAGCTGATTAAATATGATAAAGCATGTAGCAATAATAATAATAATAATAATAATAATAATAATAATAATAATAATAATAATAACACAGCACTTCCGATGATATGGAACTTCTAAAATAAACCCTTAATTACATTTTTTTAATTAAACGATAAAATATTAAACAATGAAATTACCATTAGAGCTCTTTTCTTAATGAAATGACAAAATAAAGATACTAATGATGATAAATAAAATGATTCAGCTTTGTTAATTATAGAAAGATATTTTGTCACTTTCGCCTTTTTATTCAAAGGTTTTATGAATTTCACACAGAACAAGATGATAAAAGGGTGATACAAAAGATTAAAAAAGAATTCAATAGTAGTTTTTTTTTAAATTTTCGCATCTGAGACGGAATCCCCCCTTTACGCCCGCGCACTGAGTAAAAATTGTTTACGGCTTAGTGCCTGTGAAAGCAGATGCAACATTGGAGCACGTTACGTAACAAGCCGATAACCATCGATTTGATCCGCTCTCCGGCAAACAGGTGCGTGTCCATTTTATAGGGGAGAGATCGTGGAGGAGAAAAAGAAACGCAACAATCTTGACGTGGTCAGAAATGTTCTAATCTCTTTCGAGCAGTTCCTAAAACATTGGAGATTTTAAAATCATATTTCATCACTAAAGAACAATTTTTTTTCAGATAGTGATTATATTTCGTTTATCATTATTATTATTTTTTTATTATTTGTTTTTTTTTACGTGCCATATTTCCCTTTTCTTCTCCCCCAATTGGTCATGCTCGTATGTGCGATTCCTAATCCATAATTTATGTTTTCTCTTTGACAGGAAGTTTCAGAAGAAATCAACATGGCCATGCTGTAGCTGAGAGGTTCCGGCGATCTGCTATTCCGGTTTCTTAAGCAATATTTCTCACAGTTGTAGTTTATCGTCATAATATGAGGTCATAATTTGATAACAGCATGGATACATGCATTTTGATCCCGAGCGACTTTGCTCTCCGCTTTGAAAATCACAACGTTCTCGATAGGAAACGTGCGATCAAGGCAGCCGGCATGGACACTGTGCCAAAACCGAGTATTTATGCGAGCAGAGATATTGTTCCTGGGACGATCTACAGGCCCGACCAGGGCGTGATCAAGGTGGAGAAGCTGCCCAGACTGGATCTCTTACCGGAGGGAGACGTAAGTATTGTGGTCGACATTTTTGCCGGCGTGCATGTTTGATTGGTCCCCGGGTTCTTAGTAGGCTACGACGCGCTGCCGGAACTAGGCATTTGCTTGATAGTGAAGTGATAAAACCCGTAATTATAGCTTCTCCTTTTTTAATTGAAATATGGAAATCATTTGAAGGCATTTGCATTATGAAAACTGGGGGTGAAATATTTCAAAACGTGCCAGTGTTACCGAAAATCTCTCCTTTTCGTGCAACTTTACGCCTTGGATCATTCACCAATATTGTTCAGTTAGGCCTATTCATATCGTACCATGCTCCCCGAATTAAACTAAATCAGAGTCATTAAAGAAAATATTTCATCAAGTTGAAGATACACATAATTTTCTATTTCATTCTATGTTCAGCATATTAAAGTTGCATAGAAATGATGCAATTCAGAGTTTTAACAGACTGTTGATGTTGTTTAATTTCTGCAGTGAGTCATCATATCCCTTTGCCTCATCACATCTTATGAAAAATATTTTTATCAAGGTAAATTGTAAAATTTTCAAAAGGGATAACAGTGCACTTTGATAATATTTCATTTTTTTTAACAAATGAGATATGAAATTCTTGTTTTCCCTCCCTTTTTGCCAAGATTTGATATCTGTTAGATTTATACTTTGTAAAAAAATTGTGTGTATTAAAATACATTTAGTTGATACTTTGTTTTAGTAATTCATATAAGTAATATCTGAAACTGATATATTGTTTCAGCTAAATTTCCTGGTATTGCAATCCTTCTATAATATTATAAAGATAGAGATAACAGTAAAATAAATTGAATAAAATTTCATGATGTTCCCCAGATTGTTGATTACTAGTGACCATTCTCAAAAACAAGTAAAAAGTTAAAAGGAGAAAATATTGCATTTTAATTTCTTTAAAATTTACCAAATCAAAAATATCTTTGTTTCTTATAATAAATTGACTTTTTAAGTGCAGGGGGACACCCATAATATGTTCCAAAATGATGATCTGTATTCTTCTTCCCAATGTCATAAAATAAAAAGGGTAGGGAAAAAAAAAAAAAAAAAAAAAGAGGGAGAAGAGAGGAAAAGAAAGGAAAAGTTCTTGACTAAGATTCCTCAAATTTGTCCTCAATACATAGTCAATACTTAGTTGACCCATGGGTGGCAAGGGGACATTATTATTAACTGAACTCTCACCTTTACCTGAGCACCCCAATGAATGAAAGTTTGCTTTGTCCCGGCTGTTACGCCTTCCTGCAGAATGTTATGCAAGTGGATAAATATTTTGCACTTGCGGTAAACGAGGTCAGGAGAAAGAGGGCTTGTACCTCTATAGCATGTAAAATGATCCATATAAATAGCATTTAAAATCTTTAATTTTTGCATATTATTCATGATAAATGACAATGTTAAATTATCGTGATGTCTGTAAATTAAGAAGTGGAACGGTAGTTCATCCCATGCAAGATTTTTGTACATCTTTATATTATAAATACAAGAAACTTACTGTGCTGATTGCTGAAAGAATGGGCTCTGTATAGTATGTGGTAAACTCATGAACTCAGAGTCAGGGGTTAAGACATCCGAAGGCATTACTGTTATTGTGATATTCGTGAAAGTATGTACATCTCTTAGATTTTGTTCTGTTTAGGAAAAGAAGAGTTGCATTAAGACAAACATTTATTTCGCTGTCTTTTTTCTGTCTCAATTTTTTCTTTAAAACTTTCAATCATTAATGTTTTTTTTTTTTTTTTTTTGCCTATTTGAAAATAATCTCTACTCCTGAGCAAAGTAATGACAATGAACAAATATTTGTTGCATTAAACCAGAGTGATGAATAAAAGCCTCAGGAGTTTGATTCAAATGATAAAGATTCTTACTTGTAATTTTAAGTGAAATTTGAAATGTTTATTCTGTGAAACTGTTGGTTTGTCAAAACTGGTCAATTAAATTTTATGAAACAAACAAAAAAAAAATCATTTTGCTTGCTATTAAACCTACAGATTTTAAAATGGAACTATTATTTTGCTTGCTATTAAACCTACAGATTTTAAAATGGAACTATTATTATTATTATTATTTTTATGGCGTCCCTACCACACTTTCATGTCAGTGCTCACAAATGTTCGCCTGTTCAGATATAATCAGAAAGCTCATAAGAGTACATGGATGTGCACAGCACACATAATGAAATATGTCTTTATAATTGATATACATATAATGAAAGATAGTTCACAGGGACATACAGTACAGGTGTCAGTGGTTAGAACTATGTATATCTTTATATCTTTATATCGAAAGTCATGGTGATCATGAGCGTACATCATTTTGATGAAAGATATGACTAATCATACTCATTTGTGGAAATCAGCATTAAGTGAAAGGCGCATTACATTATTAATTAGACATAATGAGAAATAAGTTCACTGGGGTCAGCCTAGTACAAAATTCCGGCCCCAGTTGCACAGAAAAACTTGTGTCAGGTTCCTTGCCAAACATCTTTGTTACCAACGTTACGTGGACACATTTTACCCAATCAGTAGCAGTGTTACATCACTCTCTTGGACACATGCACACATCCTAGGGTGTATTTCCAGAGATTTAGATCGATCCAGGGATTAAAATTTAGATCGACCTAACTCCCTGGGGGTTCATGCTAAATTGCAGTCAGACGAGCGCGCACCATAGTTAATTACCCCCTTACAGCTTTTAGTAGGCAGGACAGACGATTAAGCCGGCCAAGCTGACAGTAATCTAGTGAGACTCCCCACAGGGATGGATCGATCTAAAAATCTATGGAAATGGGGTGCTAGTCAACTAGGATTTTAAGATTCTTTGTAAAACGGGGGGCCTGGACTTAACAAAATTTTTATTGTCTGAACCTGCCCTAACAAGAAGTCTCTTAGCCTTTCAGGTTCATATTTCTGCACTTGCTTGCAGATATTCTTTCAAGCTTGTCTCAACAATTTATATATGAAAAATAAGCACCAATTTTAATTGTTCTATACAAAGGCCTTCCACTTCCTCAGTTTTATTTCCCCAATTTCTTTGCAGTTACTACATTTTCTCTCTGACTTACTGATTATATTGTTTCTCTGTCTGGTTGAAAAAATCTTTAGGTAATTTCATAATTTTTGAAAGGACATTTTAGAGATAGCTAGTATCATACAGAGATGTTCTGTTTGTTTATTTACAGTGAATTTGTTTGACTTTTCCTACATTTTTATTTTCACCACATTTTAATTTGAGTTAGAAAAACATAAGATAAATGCATAGGAACAAAACACTTGTAAAGATAGCTTCTATCCTGGATTCTATTAGACACACACTTGACAAGATGATCAATGTTTGATTTGATATTAATGGAAAATAATGAAGTTATAACAATTTATTCAGTTGCACTGAATCAATTTGCTGATATAGCAGATAAAATGGATATCACAAGAAAGATGTTATAAAACAAGAAAATAACAAAATACACATTCCAAATTTTTTTTATTAAAAATGTGCAGAACATATTATGATAAATATTATAATACTATTTCCTTGAATTTTATTGAATTATTAATTTATATTACTAAATAAAAATGCATTGCATATTTAAAAATTAATTTGAAATTGATATCAACAATATGTGAAGCTTAGTAGCTGTCTTGTTTTGTAGCACATTTAAAGTACCATTGTTTATCAGTGATTTTAAAACAATTCAAACATTATACATTTCAATCATGATTGCCATTATGTCAATTTTTGATTAATTGGTAAATAGATTGATGTATCATTTTTCAGGCAGTGCTTAGTTATTTTAGTATAAAAGCTAAGAAAACTCTTTAATAATTAAAAAAAGTACAAGAAGTTTCTGAATACACAAAATTTAAACAAGATATAATTATTTAGTTTTTTTGCAAGAGTTTTGAGATTATTAAATGCACACAAAACTGTTTGGTTTTTAATTGTTTAACATAAAAATTAATAATAATAACAATAACAACAATAATAATAATAATGGTGATGATGATAGGTTTTAATTTGTCATATATAAGAATGTATGATATCATAGATTATATTTTCATTTGCTACAGATTTTGTAAGAGTTAATTGAGTTCTTTTTCTGAACTTGAAATGATAACATTTTATAGCCTTTTTATACCCAAAGTATTATTTTAATAGTCACATCACCTTTTTGTTTTGAAAGTATTCATTTTCTGTTCATTAATATAATTGCTCTATTCAATGAACAAAAAATGTATGGAAGGAAAAAAAGAAAATGCTCCTTAAATGTAAATTAATATTACACAATACATTAATTATAGTAATGATAATTTTATAACCATATATCTTTATTATTTATAATAATTATGCAATAAGAAATATTAAGAATAATGTTGTTTTTTTTTATTTGACGTCAAACTATGTTGAAGTTGCTCAAACTTGTACCTCATTCACTCATTGATGTTGATCAATCCCTTTCATATAATTAATCACAGAAGGAAAGATGAACTCAATTCACCTTTAAATAAAGCAAGATTACTGGTGATAATTACCCTTTTTACCTTAAGCACTTTTTAATCTTGTTAATCTGTTTAATTAGTTTTTCTAGAACAGTTTAATTATTGCTGGTGATTAATCAAAGCTTTGTCAAATGTCAGATCAGCTCCATTAAGCAAACTGCCCTGGTATTTTTTGTAGGCTGACATTATCAACCTTCTCTCTTATCTCAGGATAATTGAACATTCATATTGAGAGTCAACAAGCACCAGTTTATTTTGCCAGATTTGCTTAGTTTACTATATGTATAAGTTCATAAAATTTATTCTTAAACGCTAACAGCCAATAAGAATGCCATTTTAAAATACGTTAATGTTTTATGGTTAAGATAAATCATATTTTTTATTTATTTGTTAATTTAGAGTTGAATAGTTGTTCTGTTAATTGAAATCATGGTTGATAATGTAAGAGAGAAAGTGTCATTAAATGTGCAGCTCGCCTGTGTTCCT